TGCTGCCCGCGGCAACAGAATTTCCTGTGGTGTTTCCCTATCGCGAGTAGCAGCTGTCTTCTGGCTTGGAGAGGGTGCTCCCAAGATTCCTTGGGCCGCCACTGCGATCCTCAGCCTGATTGGGCATCCTGATATGCCCCCTCTCAACCAGACAAGCCTCGGTGACGAAGCCCATCACGCAGGGTGGACACCTCCGTCCATGCTTGCTCCATTTGCCCCTCCAGGGGCGTTTCCAGTCCGTCAGCCTCAGGATGCACCGGGTCCCGGGGATGACTGCGAAGCTACATCTCAGAGTCCCTTGTGGCAACTCTCCCTGAATTTGGCCTCCTTCAACGTCCTGTCCCTGGGACCTGGGAAGGAGGAAGGCCTCGCATTTCAACCCGCTAGGGCGGCCTTACTGGCCAACCAGCTGCACTCTCATGGAGTACATGTTGCCATGCTGCAAGAAACCAGGCAGAACGAGGGCTCTGCCACAATAGGCTGCTACTTGAGGTTCTCCGCTGGAGGAATCCGGGGCCAGCTAGGTACCGAAATTTGGATTCGTCAAGATTATGCCTTCATGTGGAGGTCTGGTGTTGACGGAGCCGCAGAGAGCCGGGTAGAGTTCAACAAACACCGGTTTGCAGTGCTTGTTGCTGACCCCAGACGGTTGTTTCTCAGGTTCACCAGCCACATGGTGGATATCCTTTTTGTGGCCGTACATGCACCCCATCGTGCCACAGAAGCCGCCCTGCTTGAAGAGTGGTGGCAGCACACCCACCACCTTCTGACCGAGCATCAGCGAAACTCGTTGGTCGTTATCGGAGGTGATATGAATGCTGCAGTTGGCAGCATTGTATCGAATTGCATTGGGCCACTCGCCGCTGACACACAGGATGTGTCAGGTGAATACCTACACCGCTTGCTTCACCAGGCCCAGGCCTTCCTTCCTGCTACCTTTGACGATTTTCATCAAGGGCCAACCTACACGTATATCCACAAGAACGGCAAGCATCCATGCCGCATCGACTATCTAGCCATACCATCCAACTGGAGTGGTAGTCAAATCCATTCCTGGAGCGAGCCGGGCATCCATGCTGCACACTCCACTCCAGACCATGTGGCAGTGTGCGCCTCAATTCATGCCACCTTGCGTGCCAAGACGGCCGCGGCCGCTTTAGGGCGTCGACGGATACCCGCTGCTCTGATCTCGGATCCGAACAATCAAGCAGCCATTGAACACGTGCTGAGGAGTGCCCCGACAGTGCCGTGGCAAGTCTCTGTCCATGCGCACGCGGCCATCCTGGCGCAGCATGTGCAGCAGGGCTTGTCCCGGCTCGGAATGACTGCCCCCAAGAGGCCGCACCACGCGTACCTGTCCCAGTCTACCTGGGATCTGCAGCAGTGTGTAAGTCAACTTCGCCGTAGGCTGCACAAGCTTGTTGGCCGCATAGCGCAGACCTTGAAGGCGGCGACCTTCCAGGCATGGGCGACTCGGTCCAGCTTGGCCCAGATTCAGCAACACGGTGAAGCTTGGGCGTGCCAAGCTGAGGCAGTGCGCCTGGAGTTGCAACAAGAGCTCAGAGACAAATGTGGCCAACTCCGCAAAGCGTGCCGAGCTGATCGGGACCTCTTTGTTGCTGATCTTGCACAACAAATTTCGACTGCACCAACGAAAGAAGCTTATGCCGCGCTGCACCAGCTTCTCATGCATCGGAGGAAGAAACAGTTCAGTCTGGAGCCGCTCCCCAGACTGGTGCAACTAGATGGGCAACCATGCCGCGATTCAGAAGAGGTACAACACCGTTGGCGCGAACATTTTGCGAGTATAGAAGGTGGCGTTCCGACCACCTTTCACGAGCTTGCTCAAGCCTCCGTTTGTTCCGCGCCCCGGAGCGCGCCGGCCCCACCCGGGACGGAGGATGCGCCTAGCCTCCCTTTCTTCAGGCGCGTGCTCGCAGCAACCAAATCCAACAAGGCACCAGGCATGGACGCTATCCCTCCTGAACTGAATCGGTTCTTCGCAGCGTCTTCAGCTCAGCTGTTGTTCCCATTGTTGCTGAAGGTGACTTGGAGGGGAGTAGAGCCTGCAGGGTTCAAAGGGGGACAGGCGGTCACCCTGTATAAGGGCCGTGGGCAGAAGGCCGAGTGCGGGTCATTCCGATCCATCCTACTCATGGCTTCTTGGGCCAAGGCTTTCCACCAAGCCCTCCGGCCGGCCATTAAGCAGGTTTATCAGACCCGCTCGTCCGATCTCCACCTCGGGGGTAAGAGTGGGTGTAGTGTAGTCTTTGGAGCACATGTGGTGAGGTCCCTCGGCCGCATTGCCGCCCTCCGCCGACAGTCCTGCTTCGTCCTGTTTGCAGACATATCGGCTGCCTTTTACAGTGCATTGACGCAGCTCATAGCACGCCCCGCCGGGTCTGCTGATGCGATCGCCAAAGTCCTCCAGACACTACCGTTGCCATTGGAGGCCAGGGACGAGATTACGGCCCACCTCAACGAGGCCTCTGCGCTCACCGAAGCCGGAGCGTCCGCTTGGTTAGAGCACCTTGCCAACAGCATCAGCTCTGACAATTGGTTCCTCCTCGCAGGAGATGACCGCCCGGTCAGTACCTCTCGAGGGACCCGGCCGGGGAGCTCATGGGCAGACGTGCTCTTCGCGGTGTTACTCCCCCGCATCATGAGGAGACGTAACGAGCTGCTCGAAGAACTGAGCAGCCCCTCCCGACTTCCCACTCTATGCTGGGATGGGCACAAGTCCCTAGCACCGGTAGATTCCGGGGCCGAGGAGCTCGTTATTGGGGACGTGATATGGGCCGATGACATTGCGACCCCTAAACTGTGTGAAACCACCGCCCTTGTGTCAGCCATTCGGGCTGAAACGACTGCCATTTCAGAGGCCTTCCTGGAATTCGGTTTCCGATTGTCATTTGGGGAACACAAAACAGCCGTGATTGCGACGGTTTGCGGAGCGCATAGCCGCTCGGTGAAAAGGCAGTTGTTCGGGGACGGCGGACTCCGAGGTCGTGTACCGGTGCTCTTGGAACACACTGCCTCTACCAGCGTACCACTCCCTGCAAGATATAAACATTTGGGGACCATGCAAGGGCCATACGGCAGCATGTCGGAGGAGATCCGCTATCGCGTTGGCCAGGCCCGAGGTGCCTTCACTGAAGGCCGCCGCAAAGTCTTTAAGGCTAAGGGGATCGCACTTGCACGCCGAGCAGCCATCCTGGTCTCGACCGTCTTGTCCAAGCTCACTCAGGGAGCAGGGAGCTGGCCACCCCTCAATGGTCGAGAACACCGGTTGTTCTCCGGGGCTTTATGGTCATTCTATCGTGGTGTCCTAGCCCTTGGGAAGCATGACGATCAACACCTTTCGACAGCGACGGTTCTAGCACTCCTTCGTCTACCGGACGCCGACACTACCCTCAGATATGCCCGGCTCTCTTATCTTGCGCAGATGTTGAAGGCGGGGCCTGCCCCCTTGTGGGCAGTGGTCCGTGCCGACCGCGAATATGCGCAACTCCTTCAGTCCGACCTTCTCTGGCTGTACTCTTGGAGCCACGCAACCACGGATTGGCCGAACCCCCTATCGCACTGGGGTTTTTGGGCCGATAACATTGTCCGTCGGTTCGGTAAGTTCAAAGGGTTGTGCAAGAGAGCTAGGGCGCTCACCATCGCCCAACATGGTGTGCAGGCTTCGCTTGAAGGAGTGCATCGTGCCTTGCGTGCTGCATGCCGAGGAGGTGCGGCGGCCTTACCTAGCCCAGACCAAGTTGTGCATACCCATCTCTGCTTGCCGTGCAAGCGTAGCTTCCCAAGCTTAGTTTCGTGGTCAGGGCACGCGGCTCGCAAGCATGGTTACCGCTCCAAAGCGTACCTGTTGCCTACCGACCACATTTGCAGAGCATGTGCCAAGGTGTATGCGTCACAGGGACGCCTGCGACGCCATCTAGTGACCAGTGCTTCATGTGTTGCTAATTGGGGTATTTTCCAGCCGTCTGCCCAGGCGTGTAAGACCCTGCAGCACCCCTTGGCACCCCCAACCGTGCTAGGGGAAAGAGGACCTGCACTTCCCTGTGCCCCAGATGACCCTGCGATTTCCGTTCCACTGCTCCAGGCCCTGCAGGATCTGGTGGCCTGCGATGAGGCGGAGGTCTTTGAAGTCGTTGAGAGCTTCATCGAGCCACTCCCCACACTTCGGAACACTGTGAGTCATTGGCGTGACGCACATAGCACTTCACCGTGGCATAACGAGGTCGCAGAGAATATCCTTCTCCTGCTGGACCCCGCGGTCTTAGCCGAGGACAGACAGCCTTCTGCGCGGAGGACCCTTGCGGCTAGCACCGACCCTTGCCTTTGGTGCGAACCAGGCCGGATTCCGATGGTGTCATCCGGCCCATCAACCGTCATGACGTTGATTGAGCCACCGCCCTTTCGCCTGGCAGCGTTTGGGGCCTGCAGTATGACTGTTAAACAAGCTAACGCATACGCTACCTGGCTAGAGGCCGCTGCTGATATTTGCGCGCGATGTGTGACCGCTGCACAGCACAGCCCAGTTCAGGTGCATTGCAAAGGCTTGGCAGAAGCTTTGGGCCCCGCCACCCGGTGGCTTGTTGCCGGTGGGTTCCATGTCAACTCCGCAGGTTTGTTCTCAGCGTCATGAGCCACATTGTTTCACCGAATTCGACTTTGCTAGGCGAGCGTCAGAAGATGACACAACCGCTGCGAATGAAAAAAAAAAAACTACGCGCAGCTACCCCGAACCTCAATCCCTGAACCCAACCCTCCAAGACCCCTTGGCCCGAAGCCCGGAACTTGAAGCCCCAAGACCGGACCCCAAATACCTTTTCGCGAAACCATGAACTCAAAAACACCAACCCCTAACCTTAACCGGTCTAAGCTCAAAACCCTAAACCCTAAGCCTAATACACCAATTCGCGAAACCCTGAACCCATGCAGTTCTTCAACTTACAGAGCTCCAGTAGGCCCCCGCCTGCGCGGACAGACACCAGGAACCTTGCAGAACTTTTCCGACAGCATGCCGGCCTCTACGAGGACCCAGGGTTACCCGTATTGGGAGAGCGTTTCCAAGATCAATACAGTTGCCCCAGCAAAGAGAATAGGGCGTTGGGGCAAGCAAAGTTAAACAGGGACTATAACGGGTCATTTGGCGATTGTTAGTTATTCAAACTCTAGTTACTACGGAAAAGCCATGTAAGAAGCCCAGCCAAACCCCAAACCTTCGCAAACAAACCCTCATACATCATTCCAAACGGATCCTTATTAGACCGCACAAAGCCCTGACAAGCCCTCGTAACGCTTTGACTAGTCCCACTTCCAGGACAAGTCTCGCGCACCGGAATTGGGCCACGTGCTTCTGCTCACGGCGGCGAACTCCGGGAAACTGGGCAGAGCTGTTGGCAAGGCCTTCTTGTGAAGGGAGGGTTTGGGGCTGTGGGTTCGGGGTTCTGAGTTCGGTTTAGGATTATTCCTAAGGTTTCTTGTTACGGGCTGAGGGTTCTTTGGGGGTTTATGAGGCTTCTTTACGATTCTGCAAGGTTCTATAAGAGATACAGGGTTTCTTCAAGGGTCCTTGTGGGACTGTAGGGTTCGATATGGCTTCAGGTTTGATTTTTGGGGCTGGGCTTTCAGAGTTAGAGCTTTGGGTCTCGGGCTTGAAGACTTCTATGCTTTAAAATTTTAAGGTTCGGTCTGCGTTCAGAGCTCTCGCTTTTGGGGATATTTTGCGTGAGTCTTCTTGGAGTTCCCTAATCCCTGAACCTGAAATGCAAACCCTAAGCCCTGTGCCCCCAAACCGCAGAATCTGTACCAGAAATGAAGAACCCTTGTAGAAGCTTGAATACGACGATCTAAGATATCATGGACCCGAGGTATGTGGACATGCTGGAGAACTGGGAGTGCTTTGCTCGGAAGCTCGGGCTGGATTGGCTCGTGATCGCCATGGACGACGAGCTGCATCGACACCCGGTCTAGGACTATGTATTTAGGACCTTTAGGGCTTTTTATGGTCTATTTGGGGCTAGGTTTTTGGCATTACTGTATGTACATCGACACCCGATGTTTGAGGGTATAGGGTTTTCGGGCTTAAATTAGAGTTTAGGGTTAGTGGTTTAGGGTTTAGGGGTTTGGGTTTTTTTGGGAGACGAGAGTCACCCAAGCATGAGCTTCTGCAGGCCATTTCCTGAAAGAGGGTGGTGTGTCGGCTTCAAAAAATCATGAGGCTTAAGTTAGTCCTGCAGGGTGGCGGTTTAGGTTGAGGGCTTCAAGAATGCACATGATCAAGCTGCTGAAGCAAGATTCATCTGAAAATGATGTTAAGGGCTGCCTAATAGCTTTTTCCGTCCAAGAACGACTAACGGTATCCCGAAATTTCCGAACTGTCAACCAAACCCTGTTCTAGCTACTCAAACTCAGGCCCCAGAATTCGACACCCAAAGTCTTGAGAGCCTCGAAGGAAGGATGCCGAACAGGAGCTTCCCGTCCATTGGGCAGCATCCGGTCTGCGAGTGTTTAGAAGCCTTTTTTTGTTTGTAAGACTGTGTCAGTCAACCCAGAACTCCAAAACAGAAGTCCAGGGCTTCGGGGATGGAGGAGTTAGGGCTGTTGGTTTTGTGGGCTTCGAGTGCTAGGTTTCAAAGCTTGTCGTGTAGGTTCAGGGTTCAGGGGTTTGGGCTTAGGGCTTTGGGCTCATAGCCCCAGCCAGGCACTATGAAGGCAATGCCAACTTTGGCAGCAACGGCTTCATGGTGGTTGCCTGCAACAAGCTTCGGTCAGTACTCTACGTGCTTGCCACTGGGCTGTACGACGTGGTTTTCACGGACAGCGACAATGTATTCAGGAGCCTCCAGAGTGTCACAAGGGGTCGGCCAAAGAGGTTTTACGGCTTCAGTGGCTTGAGGTTGAATGTTGGAGGGGTTGAGGGTTCAGGTTCGAAGTAAGCAAGGTTTGAGCTTTGCGGTTCAGCGTTTTCGGTTGAAGTTTGAGGGTTTTTGGTAGACATCCTGCCCTCCCGACATCGCAAACCCTGTCCAGGAGCGACCCCTTTGCGTCCAATGTGTCACTGGGGAGCATGATGCGCGCCGGGACCTACGACTACGTCTATGGGGTGGCTAGAGCTGATTTTCGCTCAATCCTCTGCTTCTGTAGATATCTGGAGGTTGCAAGAGCTTCACGAAGCCAACGGCCTCAGACTCAATGTTGACGAGTCCTCAGACCGTAACCCGCAAGTGTCCCAAAACCTTAAGTTAAAACTCGAACTCTGTAAAATAATGTTATGGGGCTACATCGTACCTAAGTCTTCAGGATTTGGAGGGGTAATACCCCGAGGCCGAAACAACTGAGGTCTCTACCCATAGTTTTAGACCGAAATGTTTGCTTTCTCAAGGGTCTATGCGAGTTCACGCATGATTGAGTTATGGGTTTTAGCGGGTTAACGTAGACGGGGCCAAGACCAAGAGCTTTGGTGGCATTGATCGAGGAAGTTTAATCTATACGAAGGGGTAGTTAGGGATTTTAGTGGAGGGCGCCCAGGCATCTACAGCTTCGAACTTTAGACGTGGCATTGCAGATCTGTAAATAGACTTAGGTCGCATCATCAAACCCTGACTCAACATTAGACTCCAAACCTTGAGCCCTCGTACTATTGAGGTGAAATTCCTGCCTCCTGGCATCAAGCCCGGTGATCACTTCGGCGAGAAGAGTGAGCCGAACAAGGCTTCAAAAGGAAAAACGGTGGGGCTCGCACAGTTCGGAATACTGTCCCTTAGGGTTCCTTAGCATAATATAAACTCCAAACTCTGGTCTAAGCTCTTAAACCGGAAACACGAACACCCTAAATCCCGATCCCTAGCCTTGGCCTGTTGTTCCGGCTTCTGTTTTAGATTCCCGTCCCAAACTTCTCAGGATTTCTGACAAATCAGCCAGCTCCCTGCAGGACCATCGCCAAGAGGTCTGAATGCGTAGCAACGGAGTTTATGGTTTTGGGGTTTAGTGTCGCCTTTTTGTCCCCGGCGTAAGCAAGCAAGAACACACGCCAGATTCCTGTCCTAATCGTTAAGACCCCTAACTTGGCATCTTGGGATGCACGCTTTTCTGAAGGCAGCCGCCTGCCTCCTTGAAGTGACCCTATAACCCCCCAAAAAACCCTAAACGCTGAACCCTCATTTCTGAACCTTCAATCCTCAACCTGAAATCCTCAACCCTGAATCCTCAATCATAAACCCTGAGCCCGAAGCATCCCTTAATCCGAGACTCCACGAAGGCCAACACGGGCTTCTACTACATCGCAGGCAGGCAGAAGCCTCGGCTTGTGACGAAGGCCCCTGGTTTTCTCGGGCTCAGGTGCTTTTTGGGATGGAATTCAGAGGGGTTAAATCAGGGTACTACATGCTCAAGGGTTTCCTAAGGGTGTCGGGCTTTGGGTGTAGGCTTTCGGGCTTGGGGTTGTGTTTTTGGGCTAATTTGGGTGTTCGGGTTTAGGGTTTTGGGTTGGCATTTAGGGTTTAGGAGTTTGGGTGCAGGGCTCATGGCCCTGTGTTCGGGGATTGGTTGTGCAGATCCAGTGCGCACCCCTGAGCGGACCTAACCGCATAGAACCCCTGGGACGGTATCCTGTTACTTTAGATATTCACTATATATGGCCTTCGTCCACACGCTCCACTTTCTTCGGCTGCAAAATTACCGTGGATGAGGGTCCTCAGAATCATTTGCTATCTTCACCCGCAGTCCTAAACCCTAGACCCTAAACCCTGAATGCTGAACACAAAGCAGTAGACTTGAAGTCTTTCGGTTGATGATATAAATCCTGCATTACCCTAAGGACCCTAAACTATGGGAATTATGGTATATTTCCTTATTATTAGGCCGTTCCTTTGGCCCTGGCCAGATTTTCAACATCAGCGTCGACTGGTGCGATCGGCGACCGCACCTCGATGACCAGGAAAACTTCTGGGACTCTCTCGTGGTGAGCCGACAGAGGATGCTCTGCTCTTTCTTGCTCAGAGTTTGGGGAGTCTAGTGCGATTAACCCAAAACCAGACCCTCTAAAGGGCTTTAGATTTAGGGTTTAGGGTTTAGGGTTTACGGTAATTTATGTTAAAGGGCTTTAGGTTTTGGGTTTGCGTGGCTTCGAGCCTCGCTGCCTGCCGAAGCCGAAGCCCTTAGGTCCCCAAGCGCCCACAACACAAGATCCCAGCCCTATGCTTCCTATAGGACCCTTACTACTGTTGATGGACAAAATCCTGCATGACCTTAAGGACCCGAAATTATGGGAGTTATGGCCTTTTCCTTATAATGGGTAATGCAGGATTTTGTCCATCAACAGTAGTAAGGGCCCTAGGCCCCTTAAGGACCTAGGTCCCTGGAAGCATAGGGCCAAGTGTAAGGAGGTTCGGGTGCTTTACGCTGGCGTGACTTTCTGGTGACTTTGCTCCTTTGGGCTCTGAGCCTTTTTTTGTGTGGAGACCTCCCAAAAACGCTGGATTTTGCTTAGCTTGCAAGAGGGGCAGTGGAAACCACACATACCTAAAGCGCCCTAGCATTTCAGGAAGAAGCGCAGTCCGGAGTACGTGGGCTGCTTCCAACACTGTGAGAGCACGGTCTGCGCGTCCGAGCCGCCCGAGCAGACCTTCACGCAACTGGACCTGCACGCAAGGGCCCCACGCAAGCCCGTGTAAACCCGCAACCCAATCCTGAAAGCTTAAATCTCTGCCCTGAACCCTAAACCACAACCCCGAGAGAAAAAACGGCCCCAAACCAAACCAAGCCCGAAAGCCTAAGCCCTGAGCTCTTAAGCCCTTAACCCTAAACTCTGGAGGTACTGCCTCATGAACCCTTTTGAGAACGTCCTGGGCTGTGTCAACCCCGAGATAGCCCTGAAAGAGCCGTTCCAGCAGCTTGGCTCAGTTTAGGGTTTAGAGCTGAGGGTTTGGGTTTAGATTAGAGTTGAGGGTTCAGGGTTCCATGGTTTAAGGTTTCTGGTTCAGGTTCAGAATCTTGGTTTCTCAGCATTTGAGTTTGCAAGCTGCAGAGTTCTGGGGTTTATCACGGTTCATCCAGCCCTCTGGGCAACTGTGCGGGGAAGGGATCACAACGGACCTACACGGTGGTATGAATGCGTTTCGCAGTTGGTTTTGGAGCCTTGGAAAGCCAACCCTAAACCCTAAACCCGAAACCCTAATCCCTAAACCTTAAACCCGAAACCCTAATCCCTAAACCTTAAACCCGAAACCCTAATCCCTAAACCCTAATCCCTAAACCTTAAACCCGAAACCCTAATCCCTAAACCCTAAACCCGAAACCTTAAACCCGAAACCCTAATCCCTAAACCCTAAACCCGAAACCTTAAACCCGAAACCCTAAACCCGAAACCCTAAACCCGAAACCCTATTCCCTAATCCCTATTCCCTAATCCCTAAACCCTAAACCCGAAACCCTAAACCCTTCAAGGATGCCGTGGTTCGAAGCCCGAAAAGGCACCAGAACATAAAACCAAGGGTTTACACCATAAGGCTGAAGAATAGTAAGCCAGTTACCTTGAGCTGTGTTATATATAGGCTTCCCCCATTCTTTAAAGTTCTAAACTCGTCTTGCACCCTACTTGCGAAAACCTCCAGAGTTTCGGGCTTCAGGGTCTTAGTAGGTCCTAATCAATCGAATGCCCGTCGCCCTTAAGCCCAGGTCTTAAACTCCACACCTGAAGAAATGCCACAGCCTCTTCGTAGCCAATCTGCCCTCAGTCGCACGGTTTAGGTCCCTTTTCTTTGTTTTAGGTGGTCTCCTTGCTGAAACTGAACCATCAGAAGACGGGTGCCATGATTACTAAGACGACATGGCAAAAACCGAGGTCATCATCGCTTGGGCCTTTCAAATCCCAGGAAGTCTGAGACCCGGAGAGATGCAAGGGATTTGCTTGAAGGATCTCAAGCCTCCCAACGAGATCACCTCAAAACATAGAGAACCATCGTCTAGCATACACCAAAACCATAGTCAAATTCGTCAGGCTCCTATAACACCTAGGATGCCCAGTAGTACCCTTATTCCCTTTTTGTAGTCCTAGGTTCCTTATAACGTTACCCAATACCAAAAAGAGAGGCCTTTTTATTCTTAGGTTACTGGGTATCCTAGACACGCTTTCCAAAATCCCTTAATTGAGGAATATACCTTAAATTATAGTAGGATCCTTAATATGATTTAAGGTATATTCCTTAATTAAGGGGTTTTGGAATGTCTGGGACACGCTCAGAGCAAGCCTGTGTGCCCAGGATGATAACGTACCATGCCACCCACGTCTTCGGCAAGACTGCGAAGCAGCACAAGCTGCGGCGTGCGCAGCTCTGGGATCCATGCTGACAAAAAAAATATGCGCATTGAGGATGTTTAGGGGTTTTAGGTTTAGTCTTTTTTGTTGGGGGTTCTTATCGTTTCAGGTTTAGTCTGCGGGGCTTGTTAGTAAGTCTTCTGGGGCTTCTCAATCTATGGTGGTTTAGTCTTTTTGGGCTTCGGTCAAACGGTTTGGCAGGTTTCTGCACCGAGGAGTTGCTGTCCTAAACATCAACTGCCTTAAGTAGGGTCAGAAGTAGGTTTTGGATATTACCAAGCAGGTGTAAAAACCAAGTTGACCCACCAGCCTTCAGAAATGGCTGTAGACAGCTTCTGGCAAATCGCATGGCAGCCACCGCCCCAGTCTGTTTTGGGTAGTTCTTCGTCGTTATGCTTTGTGCCCTTGTGCCTCGTGTCTATGAGGAGATGAGATTTGGCTGCAGAGCTGTGTTTTTTTGTCTAGGGGGCTTCACGTCTTCAAAGACCTGACACCCTCCAGCCCAAAATGCAAAGCTTCTCCAAAGCCCTAAAGGCCCTAAGCCCTAAACTCGGAACGGGCCTCGAAATCCAAAATCGCAAAGCCCTCAAACCCTAAACCCCAAAGCTGTAAATCCGAAACCCCGCAAATCCTGAACCCGAAGCCACCGTTGAGACTTCACCAATATACCTGACATTCTGTGGAACCTTAAGGGCATTTAAGGCATTTTCTTTAGGTAGGGGTTCGGGGGAGTCTGAGGGCTAAACCCCCAAAGCCTGAATTCTAAAGGCCCGTAACCTCTGAGTTGTAAACCCTGCATTAACCCTCATGCCCCAAACCCATGCAGAAATCTTATCGTGCCCTCGAGCCCTGCACTGCAAACCCCGAAACCCTTAAATCCGGAATACCGAAGCTGGCAGGTCGGCGAAAGTGCGGCCGGGCACTGGCGCGCCCACCTGAACGCCAGAGCTTGTTGTGTAGAATTTCCGGCGTAGAGAGCCGTCGGTTTTGAGTTTTGGGTTGAACCCGATTGTGTCAACCCTAAAGGCGCACGTCGTCAACCCTGGATGGAGCCCTGCCGGACAAGCGGACAAGATGGGGCCATTAAGGAACTCCCGGAGGCCTAACTACTCAGCTGCAACTGGCTGAACTTCGCCTGCGAGGAAAGAATGGGTGCGAGCTGCAGAAGATCCCCTAAGCCTTAGGGGTACTTAGAAATAGTTTTAAATTTTGGGTATAATCCCTAAGAAACAGCTAAAATTAGAATTTTGCTAGGGTTCTAAGTTCAGTATGGAAGCCAGGACCTGCTCAACGGCTCAATTGGCTTAGGACTCGTAGGCTTGGACAGGAGGGGTTCGTGCAGTATTGTGGGAATCAGGCGCTGGGCTCACCCTGGACTCGACGCCATACTTAAATTCCCAACATTTCCTAAAGTTCCGACACACATCCGAGACATATAGATGAGTATTTTAGACATACAGCAAGCACTGAGAAATCGCTGTTCTAGCAGGCAGTGCTTAGTAGAAAGATGTACGAAACAGTACCTGGACACATATGGGATCACGAATACACGTACGGAGCATACATGCACATACACCGCTAGAGTTAAACAATGCATGTGAGTGAGAGAACGAGTGGGCGAAGCACAACAAAGTAAGCCAAAATAAATCAAGCAAAGTCACGTCAAGTGAGATGAAAAAAGCTGTCAAAGCAGAGTCCGAAGTGAAGTGTACAGTAAAGCAAAGTGGAGCAGAAGGACAGCACAGACAAGGGCAAAGTAAGACAAAGTAAGGTAAAGGTAAAGTATCTCTTGCCTCCAAGCCGTTACATCGGCAGTGTCCAAGAAACCCACGGCCCCAAGGGATGAACATCCGCAGAAGCAGTCCTAAACCTACCTGGACCCCAAAAGTATGTAGAATAATGGCTTTTTATACGTTTTGGGCCATTACTTTACCTACTTTGGGGGTCTAGGTACACCCAAACGCAGAACTAACCCTAAAGCCCCAAGTCTGAGCCCAGAACCAAGTCATAGGGATCCTTAGGGGTGTAGGGGGAGGGGGGGGGTAGGGGGCCTTAAGACCCATAATAAGGACTAATAAGGCCTATTTAAGGAAATATAGTCCCCTACACCCCTCCCCCCTACACCCCTAAGGATCCCTATGACCAAGGCCATCTTCATGTACCTAGCCGTGGGAAGCCAAGATTGGGCCTGCCGCGGCTCCGGGGGTCTCAGGGTTTCGGCGCGAAATCGGTTTCGAATTTTTAGGGTTTAGGGTTGAGGGTTGAGGGTTTAGGGTTTAGGGTTTAGGGTTGAGGGTTTAGGGTTTAGGGTTTCGTGCAGGCGCGAAGGATAGTGTGGGAATCGGGTCTGGACTTCAGGGGGGATTTCGGGTGGTCCACATTGCTTGAACATCGGGTTGGTACTTTCTGCTTAGTTCCAAACCCCAAAGCCCCAAACCCTAAACACCAAAACCCAAAACCATAAATCAGGACCCTTCATGGGCCATCACAAAACCTTAGAAAAAGCTCCGATACAGCCCAAAATCCATAGTAAAGGCCCATAAGAGGGCACTCCTTCCACTAGTTGCTCAACTTCGCGACTGAAAAGGTCTGGAAATACCGGCTCTCCAAGCAGCTTGGAAGCCAGGCGCGCACCGGGTGGTAGGGCTTATGGGCTTAGTGCCCGAACGCGTTTGGATTTGGACTTGAGTTCAGGGTTTAGGGTGTAGGGCTTTATGGGCCCAACTGGGTTTCAACGTGGGTTCAGGGTACAGGGTGCTCAATGCAGAGGCCTGAATGATTGGAGGGTTTGTCTTGGGTTTGTTACTGCGGTATGTTATAACTACGAAGGTTCTGCATGAATAGAGGCTCTAGTATATATTGTGGCGTAAGTGCAACGAGGCTTGAATAGTCAGTACTCGTCGTATCATTCTTCGGGTTTCATTCTATACACTCAGAGACTACAAGCCCTAGCCCAAGTCTAGCTACACAGGCCCATTAGCAGCGAATGCTGTAGGGTTTAGGGGTTTAGGGCTTCGGGCCACCGTTCCTTGTGTGTCCGCCTCCCGAAGTCGTGCTCTCGTGGGTTCCGATCCTGCTCTCGCCGCAGGGTGTCATGGGCATTCTGGATTCGTTTTCTTGGGTGTATATGGGAGTTTCCGAAACTTGGGGGTACCTTATTTTGGGGTCCCTATAAATAGGATCCTACTATTTAGGGTACTATATTGGGGTCCCCTATTTTCGGAAACTCCCATATGCAGGGCTCCGGCTACGTGCTCTTTCGCTGTTCGGGATCGATGCTGGTCTCGCTTGCTTGTTGATTTTTTTTTTTGCCTTTTGGCTCCTTGAGGATTTCACCTTCGGGTTCGTGGCTTCGGGTATCATAGTCAGTTGGAGTATCGGACCAACTTAGGGGGATAATGTTGGAGTTAGCAATACTGCCCGGCTATAGTCACCAACAGGCAGTACTTGAACGTGCCCACAGTCCTCTTCGAAGAGGCAATGCTCCTACAGAATAGTGATACTATAGACTATAGTCATACGGGTTCCTATCAGGCTCTGACTACTTACTATGCTACAAAAAGGCCTTGAGGATTTAGGGTCCAGATGCTTTTGATTGCCTTCCCCCATGTACGCACGCTACTCATAATTCCTAAACTTGTGCCTGCAGGTCTTGCGGAAGGATGCCCTTTGCTCTGTGTCGGGTTCCTGACAGTGGCTGAAGCCTACGGTGCTAACCGTGGAGCCCTAAAGCTTAGATAATTCAGGCCAGTGGTTCGTTCTGTTGGTTGAAGATAAAGATCCCGAGCGAGCGGGGAGGGACTTAGTTTGAGCAACCCGGCCTGTGAGGCTGGGTTTACAGGTTTGTCCGCTTTGTCCTTTGCCGACGCGACAAGAACCTGTTTTCATGTAGGCCTGAAAAATACCATCCCGGAATTCTTGCCCTCAGTTTGCGGACTGTCGAGTTTGGGACTTGTCGATGGGTATGTGGTTTGGTTTGCCTGAACCTACCTGAACCTACTTTGAATATGTTGGGGCCCTACAGCGCCAAAAACTTCATAACCCGCAACCCTAAACGTGTCATGCGCACGCACAAAACCATGAACCTCACGCCCCCACGAGCTCAGAACATCATTAGACTCTACATGCTCCACACATGCTCAAAATTACTTCGGCTTGCTACTTGAACTTTAAACCTTACTGTACGCACTTACCACAAACCCTCAACCCCAAACCGTTAAGGGTTGAAGCGGGGCGTGGCACGAGGATCTAGGGCTGAGAAAGGATGAGCGTTGAACGGCTCGGAGGTGTAGCGTTGGAAGAATCATTGACGGTCGAAGCCATGTATCCTAAACTCCTAAACCTTATGCTACCTTATGCCCTAAACCCTAGACCCTATACCCTAAACCCTAAACCTTATGCTACCTTATGCCCTAAGCCCTAAACCCAGAGCCGAAGCGACATACCCGAAACAGGATACCCTAAAAGCCTTGATCCTTTAATTTGAATCCTGGTTAGCAAAACCCGAAGCCCCATCGAACTCAAAACCCTATCAGCCCTAAACCCTAAACCCAAGCCCCAAAGCCCAAACCCTAAACCCCAAACCCTGAACCCCAAGCACCAAACCCCCAAGTCCTTCGGGCTTTGATCTCTGTTCGTCTTCCTCCGGGGCTGAGGCTTGGTGCCTTCCTAGCACTGATCTGCGCCATCGCCGCCATGCTTGAGCAGGCGCCAAGCATGACGAATTTCACGATTTGGGTTCGGGGTTTAGGGCTTACAGGGTTTAGGGCTTAGTATTGGGGTTCAGTTTAGGGTTTAGTATTAGGGTTCAGAGCTGCTTCAAATTTTGTTTCTTTCGTTGTTTGCAAGCCGGGGGGGTGTCTGAGTTTTTGTTGTTTTGGCCTTGTAAGCTTTGAGAATCCTTGGCGTAGTCTTCGGCGTGAAGATGCAGAAGCGAGCTTCCGATTTGGAACTCTCCGGGTTCCGAGTTTGGCGAGGTACATTTTAGGCATGAAGCCAGACTCCAGGAATTAAGGTTTAGGATCTGCAGCTT